GGTGGTGGCCTGTCCTGCCGCTTGGAAACCCCGGCCGAGGGCCGCCTTCCGCCTCCGGCCTCCCCGCCTCCGAGCTCAGGACCGGCGCCCAGGAAGAAGGGCGTGAGGTTCCAGGGCGCCGGGCCCGCCGGGGAGGCGGCCGGGGGAACCGGTCGGCCCGCTCCGGGAGAGTGGGAGAAGGCCTGGGGGGTGCCGAGCCCCGCGCTGGTCTGCCCTCCGGGGCCGTCTTCTCCTCCCCCTCCTCCTCCTCCTCCTGCCACGTCCCGACCCCCCCGAAACTTGCCCGAATAGCGGGGCGCTGGTGGCACACACCTGTGATGGAGGCTGAGGTCTGAGGAGCAACGTTCGAGGCCAGCCTAGGCAGGAAGCCCGTGAGACTATCTCCAATTAGCCACCTCCCTCACCCACCCCCCAAAAAAAGCTGAAAGTGGACCTGTGGCTCAAGCAGTAGAATGCCAGTTTTGAGTGAAAAAGGTAAGGGACAAAGGCCCTGGGTTCAAGTCCCAGTAGCAGAATCAACAAGGGTGCTTTTAGACAAGGTCCCAGATTCAAATTCTGGAAGCATTTTTCTATCCTCAAATTACCATATGGACCACGATCCTTTTTTATGTGCATTGGAATCAAAAATGCCCTCCCACAACATTTTTTTTTTAATTCAGTCCATACTGGGTTGCAAAATCTGGTGCACCCCAGAACTGCCCAGGTATTTAACTGACAGCCCAGCAGGGCCCACCAGCCCCCCACCCCCCACCTTCTTAGTGAAAAAGAAACAGGATTGTTCTTAAAGTCTCACATCTAAATTGAGAATGCACGTATAGTGTTAGTACAACAGTACTGAATTGTATTTGTGCTTGCACTAGAACTATGCCACCAACAGTGGTGGTACTTTCTGGCCTCCATAATCTTTCAGGGTCTATATACATACACAAACGTGTGTGTGTGTGTGTGTGTGTGTGTGTTTTATTATACATTTAGTTTCCCCAATGAAATCTATTTGGATATTTTTCCCCACTACCATTATGTACATAATAAAGTACTGAATGCACATTTTTCTTTTCGTGTGTGTGTGTGTGTGTGTGTGTGTGGTCATAAAAACTTGAACTCAGGGCCTTGGCTGGCTTTTTTGTACAAGGTAAGTGCTCTATAACTTGAGTCACTTCTGGTCACTGGAGTCAGATCTGTCTTCCGTGTTGACTTCAAACTTGGGTTCTCAAATCTCAGCCTCCTGTGTAGCTAGGATTACTACCCAGTGGGTCAGCCAATGGTGCCTGCTTTGTAGCCTATTCAAAAACATACACCATTCTGTTTTGTTTTTCAAAAATCTATCTTCTCCTAGAATTGTTTCCTGTTTTATTTGGTATGTAAAAAATTTTAACTATAAAACTCATGGCCTCTGGAGAGCTAAATATGGACAAATACAATTCCAAAGTGACAAGAAGAAACAATTCAAGATGAAAATATGACAATGCAATCTTTCCCTTGGCTTTGGAGATGTTAATAATTTACTCATTGGGTTTTATATAATAGAAGATTTTGAATAGTTTTATGATCCTAGTGATGTAACACCTTTGTACAGCCAATAGTACAGACCACATAAGAAGGAATTTTTGAAGCGAAGATATAATGAACTTTTTAAAAACCAAAAGTTATTTAGATAGCTTTTCATACATGAAATATATTTTTAAAAAAACCTATCCCAGG